GCAGTGTAGAGTAGCGCTTGTTGTTTGTCATTTCTCCGATCACAAATGCAGACATGGTTTTATGTTTACGCGTTGCGATACGCAACGCAACGCGTAAAAAGACAGTATAAGTCATTATAATCAGTAATTATGTCCCCACTGGATGCAACAAATGCCTCATTTATAATGGGTTTTAATGTTTTTGTCTCGTTGCTCCGGCCTGACAGGGCATCACAGTATGGTAAGGGGCGTAACATTTCCGTCACATGCTTGAGGTATTCGGCCAATCACAACGCACTGGATAGCTGGCCAATCAGAGCACACCTCGCTTTCAAGACCGATGAGCTTTGTAAAAATCGACACGTTTCAGAAAGGCGGGGCATAGAGGAGAAACAATAATGTACAGTATGTGGAAAATAATGTGTTTTTTTAACCTTAAACCGCATAAACACATTTCATTACACCAAATACTGTTCTTTTTAGCAACATCATATGACCCCTTTAATGTTGCCACCAAGTTAAAAATAATATGAATGGACATAAAAAAGCTGACATGGCTTTTTTATGGCAGTATTTTAAAAAGTAATTTTAAAGAAAATTCAATTTTAATGATCCCTCTTTTGTAATTTTTTAAAAATTATTTGTATGCTTTTTAAAATGTATGATTTAACATTGTTAATATTTTGCTGATTTTACAAGGTGTGTGTAAACTTATGAGTACAACTATAATTGCCTTTTATATTTCCAGGAACAGCTTTTTAATTGGGTGCCTCCACACCATGGAGGAAAGATTTTCAGTAAGGACAAAATTGGTCTTTTCCTCACACAAAGCTATCATGTGACTTTATGAAAACATTCCAAATATATCATATGATTGGTATAGACCACTCTTAAAATAATTAGTTTTTTTTTTTTTTGTCGTTTGACAGTCTCATTCCTCATTCATATGGAAAAGAGCGTCCCGGGCTCAGAAAGGCATGCAGGGAAATGATTACAGAATTAAAACATTTTCAAGAACTATTCCTTTAATATTACAATGACATGATAATCACGTTGAGTTGAGTGTGTTTGTGCACGTGGAGGTCATTTTCCAGTGATTTGCTTGGCTGTAGCGCAGGAGGGAACACTTTGTGCTCGTTCAGGAGAGTTAGGGAAGAGCTGCTGCCCAGCGGATTTTCCTAAAGCCTGTAAAACGGGCTGCGCTGTGCCTTAAGCTCCTGAAAGACCCTGTTCTACCGTGGCGTCTACTTCTCTCTCTCTCTCTCTCGCTCATCATGCTGCTTTAGCCTGGATTTAGGAACAGACCGATTCGATCAATGCTTGTTTTTAGAGTCTGCGCTCTGCTTTCCTTTTATACCCTGTCAAGCGGTGTTTTAAGGACTAACTGAAAAGTTTTTAGGATGAATGTACAACGCTTTGTTTGTTTTGAAGTCATCCATCAAGCTGAAAGCACAAAATAGAAGTATTTTAAAACATGTGAAGGTCGATATACTTTTTTGTTTTTTTACATAATACTATTGTTTTTGTCAGAGATTGTTCTTGAGGGATTAAGATAAGTACATTTATCAAGGGCATCTCTAGACATAAATGACATCAAAAAGAAACAGACAAGTGTAAATAATTCATAATTTCCAGGTAAAATAAAATATCAATTAAAACGTTTAGAATCGATGATAGAAAATATACAGTTAAATTAAATAAAAAAACACAAAAAATGTCCATTAAGGTAAAAATAATATTAATTATTACTATTATTAATAAAAAACTACATAACATGGCACATTGGTACAGTATTAGCTATAAGTCAAATATATCAAATATATATGTGCTGTCAATCGATTAAAAAATGTGCACATTCTTCTGAAATTAATCGCTATTAATCCCACCTAACATTAAAGTTTTTAAATATACTTTTATATTGCAATAATTTCACATTCAATCTTCAAATTAAAGTAGAAACAACATAAAGACAGTATATTTTTAATATTTGTTTAATGGCATCTCTTTTTTATGACTGAAGGCCAGTATCACTGATATCAATACTACTGATGTCTCTATGAAATAGTTTTTTCCCCTCTAATATTTAACCATTGACTATAGACATTTAACATTACAGTATCATTGAGAGCTATCAATTTTAACATTTATTAGACTTAAAAAAATAACAACTTCTAATTTAAGTGAACTTAAAACAATCTTCACATAAATCCATTATAATAAAAGTCATATTTAGCTACCTAAAAATTATTAGGTTATTTTGGCTACTTCAGGAGCTGCTGCTGCTGAACATGACGCGGATCTGACACACATCCTATTTTCTCACAACTCTTTACCTTTTCTGATTCATTTCAGGTCTTAAAGTCTCTACTAATGAGCTGAGATGCTTACATGCATGCACAGTTTTAAGGCAGCTTTAATCGCCTTTTTGGTAACTTCATGACTTAACTGACAACATAATTACGACACTGCATGCTCGTAGTTTCTTTTGCGCTTTAATATGAAATTATATACAGTGTGTACCACTGCATTTGTGCATGCAATTGAAGAGCATGCTCTACGAGCACAGTATACCGCCTGACAGGACAGGAAAAATCGTTTTTACTGACATATGGCCTGACAACATCTCATCTGACCGCAGTTCACTGTTGATCTGCTGAAGCCCCTCGTCACCTGGATCTTTTCCGCGCTCGTTTGACTAACACCTGGCACTGAGGTGAAGGAGTGCACGTCTGAAAAGTCTCACGTTTGATGTGGTCGCAAAGATGTTCTGTGTCTAAATAAACGCAATTCTTGTCAAGAAAACAGAAGCAGCAGTTGTGGGTGGGGTGGCCAAACGTAGCTCCGCCTACCTTAACTGATCTTTCCAATCTTTTCAACGAGTCTTTGCAACAGATACACAAATCAGTCTCAGTGACTCATTAGTCACAAGCTGTGTTTGTGAGTGGAAACTGGTTGAAGTGGTTGAAATGTCTGAGTCAGACTCGATGAGATCGACTGAAACCTTTATTAAGCAAAATGGACTTTTGGGAACAGACAGGAGAGCGATGGCTCCCGAACAGACCACATAATGAACACAATGTTCCTCTAGACTTGATTACACTCACTGTTTTTGACTGACTTTGACTCCAATTCCCAGCCATGTGCATCTGGCCAAATTGGACTAATTTTAGAATGACTTAGGATGCACTTTATTGAGCCATTTTACACTGTGTATTTGCGTGCATTTGTCAGGGTTATGCCACAGAAACAGACAACAAGGACAGAACTAACACTGAATCCTCACCATCATATGCCGTCTTTTCCGTGTCTTCAGCAGGTGGACTGCAGCCCGGTGTGGAGGTGTAGCTCTGTACTGATGGATACTCTATCATTCCTGCTCCCAGAAGCCTTTGCTGTTCCTCTCTGGAGGTGTGACGGTCCTCTGAGCTTCCCTTAGAGCTGAGACGAGACTCTCGCCGCTCCTTCCTGCACTCGCTGTCTGTTTCCTTCAGGCTTCCTCCTACGGGACGATCAGAGGTACAGAACATGCTTGAGATCAGTTCTGGGACAGACTCCATGGATAACAACAACAGTGTCCAAACATGTTTTTAATCAGAAAGAGCTCCAGAGGACACTGAAGAAAAATTATACTTAATTTATAAAGTCCTTTATAAAGGACCTACTTAAAAAAAAAAGATATCTAATTTGTTACAGCCAAATTTATTCATTTTTCTCAAATTATATTCACAGTTTGATTCAAACCTTTAATTTTGATTTAATATTAACCATAAATATTTATTTCCCCAAAGACATGGAAAAACATTCATACAAAGTAAAATGATTTTTTACTTAGTCAATTTGTTTGCTTTGGACATGAGCTAAAATTTTTCTTAATGTAGGTCAATTTTATTTTATTTTTGCATTTTAAATCTTAATTTCACAATAAACAAATGCTAAACTAGCTATAATATTTAAGTAGAATTTTCACTTAAGATACAACTAAAAACAACCTGTTTAAACCTTACATTTTGATTTAATATTAATCCAAATATTTATTTTCCAAAAAAGACAAAATCATTCATACTAAGTAATTTATTGTAAAGGCCACGATGTACTTAATCAATATATTTTATATTTTATTGTTTTATATTAGTTTATATGAAAGTAGAATTTGTAACTAAAAACATTTTGCTTAGTCAATATTTAATTTAGTTGACCTACTATAAAAAAAGACAACTTTGAAAGACCTTAATGATTATTGTGATGTCTTATTAAAATATGCATCATATTTTCTGTTATGTACAAAAATATATATATAAATACATATATACATAAATAAAAAATAATAATAAAAACCCACAATAATTTCTAGCCAAAATTGTCAAGCAAAAATAAACAAAAATTTCTAGAGGGAGTGTTATTTGCTTTAAAAAAAAACTGAACAAAATATTTAAACTGGAAACTATGATTATTGATTAGATTGATATAGATGGAACATTATTGGCATCAAAAGAAACATTTTATTACAAAGTTATATAAATTTGCAACGTTATCTACGGCCAAAAAACAAACAAAGCTGAAACAATATTTTTACATTAAGCATGTATTCAGTATATATCCTGTTATAAATATGTAGTTTATGAAAGCAATGTTGTATTAGCACGGAATTTCTTTTAAACCTTTATTATTAATCATAAACAATGTCTACGAGCGGATATGGCATAATCATTAAGCATTAAAGAAATGCTGTTTTTACTGATTGTTTTAGTGTAGTATACAAGACTAAGACACTTAGGGCTCAGAGAAAGTATTTATGATCAGTGAGGTACAAAAACTTCCAGTCACTGTCTCAGTACATCAAGCAGCGTTAAGCCGTTTCCTTATAATCAGCGTCTGTGAGGTCAAAAATGCTTCACATCAAATATATTGTCTTTCTCCTTGGACTACAGAGTAGAGTGTTTTTATGACCATACATTTGGTTCTCCCTGGTCGGTGTAGTAGTGCATTTAAACCATGCTTAGTGTTTTTCCACGTGTAAAGCATTTTAAAACGTCCCCACAGTGTTTTAAGAGCTCACTAGAGATATAGATGTTCATTACAATTACAGTTGTAAAAAAATAACAGTTTATACTGCAAGAATGCTTCTTCAAACAAATCATACAACTATATACAGTATATATATATATATATATATATATATTCTGATGTAATTAAGGCTTTAATTCATCAAGGAT